CTTTGCACTTACTGAAATTTGGTGCAAATCTATTAAGTTTGTGTTTAGCCAATTGTGCCTAGTTTGTGTCTAGCTGTTGTGCTGAGTTTATTTCTGTTGCAGCCCTTGCAAGTGAACCTGTTGTGCCCCTCTGGCACAACAGTGATCCTATTGTGCAACTAGCCCAGGGGTCGCAGGGGAGTGAAGAATATCTCCCACACACTAGCAGAGGGTGGTTTTGAGCTGGGTTTAGGGAGTTCTGAGGGCACGGCAGAAGTTGTCACTCACTTGGTGGGTTTAGAAGATGGGCTCTGGAGATGTCCCCAGGGCACAGCAGATGCTCTCACTCATGCAATGTGTCTGGCTTTAGTCTGGAGGGTTCCAGCGGGTGTACGGGAGCTGGAAGCTCTCCCATACACTTGTAAAGCCTGGGCTTGAGCTGGATCTAGGGGGGTCTCAAATGCATGGCAGAAGTTATCACTCTCTTAGCGGGTTTGTGGGGGGGGCGCTCCGGAGGAGTCTCCAGGGTGCAGTAGATGTCTCACTCACCCGGGGTGCCTGGGTTTGGTCTGGAGATTTTCTGAGGGTGCATGGCAGCCAGAAGCTCTCTGATCAATTCTTTACTGTGCACATTCATAGGTATAAATTTGTTCCTTGAGACTCATTTTACTCTGTGTCACAGATTTTATGATGTTATGTTTTTATTGTTATTCAATGATAGAAAACTTCTAAATTCTGCATCGATTTCTTTTGTGATTCATTGATTATTAAACACTTTTTTACTTAATGATAGCTTTTTTGCATGATTTTTGACATAGAATCTTGCAAAGTTATCCATGTTGGCTTTGAATACACTATGTACCTGTAATGTACCACAGACCCATGGTAATGCACTTGGCTCAACCTCCCAAATGCTGGGATTATAATCTTGCATTACCATTCCCCACTTTGCATGTTTCTTTCCTGTTGAGTTTTACTTTCATTTCTGTATAATCTGATTGCATAAAGAAAATTATTCAAATTCTTCTGCATTTATTTATGTATGCTTTATTGTCTATGATAATGCTAATTTTCGAAAAAATTCCATTTGTTTTGAAAACATATTGTCTATTCTATTGTTATTAATGAATCAATCTATAGATATCTGTATGTCTATTTGTTCAAAGATGTTGTTAAATTCATATTTTGTTGAATTTTTAATTGGTCAGTTTATTTGTGAGAGTGGGACACTGAAATCCACCACTATGATTGTATTTGTGTTCATCTGTCCTTCTCTATTCCTCGTTTTTGATTTTAAGCATTTACGTATCAAAACTTGATCCATGCATAATTCAGATTCTCTTTGTATTAAGTTGTTTCTGCATTCCTATATGTCACGGCCATTTTATATATTCTGATAATTTCAGCTTGAAAGTACAACAGTTATACCAGCTTACTTTTGTGTTCCAGATGCATGTAGTATCATTTTCATTTACTTTGCTTTCATTTTTTGAACTTCATTTTGGATGAAATGTATCTCCTTAGATAATTTATGGTTGCATTTATGTTTTCTTTTACTTAATCTATCTCTTTGGGCATTTTTATAGAATATCTAAAACCACTGACATTGAGAGTTATCATTATGAGGTGTTACTGCAACTTATTGAATTAATATTTTGTTGTTGATTCCCTTATTTTTGTTTTTTGCTTAATTAGTCTCTCAGATGTATATTTACTTTGTAACCTTGGTGCTTTAGTCTCCCTGTCTCGGTCTAAAATTTACTTGAGTAGTTTTTGCAGGGTTGATTTAGTTGTCATGAATGTCTTTAATATCACTTTTCAATGAATAGACTGTGAATTCTCCATAAATTCAGAAGTCGAATTATGCTGGAAATAGAATTATAATTTGACAATTGTTTTCTTTTTGGATTTGAAAACTTTTATCAATATATGAAACATTAGCTTATAGAAATTGTAAGAGGAAACTTTGCAAATTTAGGGTAATAATTCTATATTCGATTCTAGTGTAACAGACATAGAGATCCTTAAGAATCACCATCAGAAAAGGACCTCTCCATGAAACTTCAAAACTAAAATTTCAACAAATATAAGCAATTATAAAAGCTATTAGAGGAAAAAAAGTATATAATATATAAAGTAAGCTTACTGACAAAATAGCACATGTGTAACCAAAACTTAACTTTTTTCTTAAATTTATATTTTAATCTTTTTATCTTTTTTCTTTTTTATCTTTTTAAGCTCACTAATCATCTTATATTTCTTCTTGATCTCTTCAAATATGTTGACTAGATTTTTCATTATTTGCTTGTAATTTCCTGTTTTTTATTATCAGAGATCAGTTTATGAGTGGGTAGGGGTTTTGACACATCTTGTCAGTTTTCATTCTCATATTTATGTTACTTTATGATGAAAGTCAAAGATCAGTTAGGGTGGACCCTGTGATGTGTCATTTTGTTTGGTTATGCTAGGATGTTTACAAACCTCTTGATAGCATACAACTTAAATTTCTTGGTACCAGGGATTGAACTAAAGACTGTCTGCTTGCCAGGCAGGTGCTTATGCCATTGAGCTATATCCCCATCTCTGAAACCTGATATTTAATGGTCTTCTTTGTGTCTAACCTCTCCTTTGGGTCTGATCCACAGCACAGCTCAGAGAGAAGGAAAGAACTACATTAATGTTCATGACACAAAGATAAATTATATTGACAAAAAGTAAACATCAATTATAGCAAAGAATTATGGACTTGTTTATTGTTTATTTTGTATCATTTTCCTTCACTATATTATTTTATTACATCTAAAATTCTTCTAATGGTGTTGTTAGGGTTTTCTATAAATAAGATTATATCAACTGTAAATGAAGATGATTTGATTTCTGGATTTCCCATTTGTACTTTCTTTTCATTTTCCAAAATTATCGCTTGAAATATCAAGTTCTATATTAAATATAAGTGGTAACAGTGGATGTTTTTTCAAAATGGAATAAGGACCTTTTCTTTTTTTCTTTTTTTTTTTTTTTTTTTGCTCCTTGAATGCCTTCAGGGCACTTTTGCATGGCTGGAGTGTTGTGGGGATCGAACTACAGCAAACTGAGTCTGCCAGCATTGTGGAAGCAGCCACTTAAAGAACGGAGCTAGGGCTAGCCCCCCCCCCTTCCCTTTTGGAAATACTGTCAACTCTGCTTGAGTTTCCTTTTCCATGCTGCCCTTCCTAGAGTCCTTGCTAGAGACATCATATTGCAGGGGGAAGGAAGCTTGGAGAAGCAAGGACTGAGTGTTGTTTTACAGATCACAACAGAACCTGAAAAGCTGAGCAGGAACAGGCTTCCCTGAAGTCTGGAGGAAGAGGAGGAGGGTCCTTGGGGTGTGATCTGGAAGGTTCTCTCTCCCTATCCCTCCCTCTCAGGGACAGGACTGAATAGACACAGGGTGTCTGGTCTTCTAGCGGGGACACTTTCCACAAAACCATGTCCACGGCCCAGAGGCACCTGAAGACTGTGAGAGTATTTAGGGAATACCCAGCCCCAACCCTATCCCTTCACCACAGACAGACATTTGAGTTGTTTATCCTTTGCTTGCTTACGATTGAAGATGACATTGCTGTAAACATCTAACATTTCAATATAAATGCATTTTCCTTAGGAAATACTTCATCAGAAACTACAGACAGTAATAACTAAAAGAAAGCTGGGTTCATTGACTCCTCAAGGGGAGGAACTTCTCATTTCCCAGAATCTGAGACCTCAGGCCAGGAATGCTGGGGTCTACGCTATGCGAGGGTGGGAGGAGCCCCGGGCTATAGCTCTGATGAAGGAATTGCCTGAGGATACGCAGAATCTGACTCAGAAATTTTGAGGTGGGGCTCAAGTTCTGGTTTTCTAGGAAGTTCTAGGGAATGCTGATTTTGCTGACAAAGAAGACTACACTCTTGAGGCAAGAGTTTGGGTAACCTTGCCTTTGTTGGCTATTCCTCTATAACAGCCTCATCTAAAAGACCCAGAATGTTTTAGATTCAGCTCCAAAGATTTTCCTGGACTTGCGGCTGGCTGGGTTGGGCAGCTCTCTTCCACTGGGCTCAGCACTCATCCTACTGTGT